GCCCCACGAATATATTCTATGACTGGTAAGTTTTCCTACGACCAGGTTATCCAGGATTGTTCTTGGTTTGGTTCTAAGTTTGTTGCGGATTAACTTAACAATATAGGACATTTTCCTACTTTAACTTGCTCGATTATGGTAATCAGTTTGAGTGGATAAATTCAACCCAAAAGTCATCAACTTAGATTTGAAATAATTTTGCGCCCAATGCACCTAATACGTGAATTTGCGTCAAATATTTACATCATGTGTAGGATGCTCGTCAAGATAATATATTTAGAATTAGATGCTTCGTCTCTTTTTCCTTCCTTAATTTTATTCATTTTCTTTCTTTCTTTTTCCCTTTGGTGCTAAAAGCCTTATGCGTGTGCCAAAAGCCTTATGCGTGTGCCTTACATCGTTTTCATCTTCCTCATTCAGACTGGCTACTTAGATGACAATGGAAACATGTAATATTAGGAGTGTACCTAAGAATGTAGGAGAAATATAAGAATGATTTTCATACATACCAACTTTATTAAGGATGAAACTTGGGGGTTTGGCAGAAAACAAAAAAAGGATGAAACGTGAAACACTTATAATTTTACGTCACTAAAACATTATTTTTCACGACAAACAATTTGGATATCTAGCGACAAGTTATTTTTCTTGATCTCGCTGGGAACACTCAAGAGTTCCAACTCCACCACCACTACCACCACCATCAGCTGAGCACCAGAACGAGGTTGATCACACCACCGGTCGAGCACCATTATGAGGTTGACCACCGAAAGCCATCACCAACATTCTACCTTCTAGCAACGAAATGAAAGAACATCGAACCATCAAACGACCAAATTATATGAGTTTTGTTGCTAAAAAGTTGGAATTTCATCTATGAAACACTTCGAAATTCATCGCTAAAAGTTTGAGTCTTCGAGGAAAAGGTTGGATACATTCGACCTTTAACGACGAAATTCATGCGTTTCATTGCCAATTGTCGAGCACATGCAACCTTGTAGTGACAAAATTTGATCTTGTAGTAAGGAAGTTGCGCGACCGCTATTGCCAAAGTTATAGCTACAAACAAACTCGTCGGTAATGTGTTTTGTCCTACAACAAATAAAAATAATTCGTCAAAGGAACTTCTTGTGAAGAATTTTTGGCTTCCAGCTACAAATCTATTTTGTTGGAGAAAATAATCAGAATCAATTTTGGAATAAATATAGGGGACATATATCAATTTTGGAATAAATATAGGGCTAGATATTTTACGATATAGAGGTTCACTTGATAAAGTTAAGTTCACACCGAAAAGGAAGGGAAGAGAGATAAAATGTGGTCTTCTATGGGCATAAATTATCTCAAACTTCGCAGAGGAACTCAATTTAGAGGATCTGAATTTTAGTCGGGAATAATATCTAGATCATCTTTAATGTATCCGGCCCGTGTGAGCGCGCGATCATATGAGCTATGGTTAGGTAGAAATTGTAAAAGATGCACATGTTTTTCGTGCACCCCACGAACATATTCTATGACTGGTAAGTTTCCTACAATGCGGTTACCTAGCATTATTCTTGGTTGTTTCTAAGTTTGTTGTGGAGTAACTTACCAACAAAGAATATTTTCAAACTTTAACCCGCTCGGTCATGGTAGTCAATTCGACTAGATAAGTTCAGCATAGAAGTCAGTCAACTTAACTTAGGAATAATATTGCGTGCCCAATGCACCTAGTACGTGAATTTGCAACAATTATTTAGATCATGTATAGGGTATCGTCGAGATAATATATTTAGAGTAAGATGCTTCGTCTGTTTTCCCTTTCTTAATTTTATTCTTTGTTTTTCTTTTCTTTTCTTTTCTTCTGGGTGCAAAAAGCTCTGTGTACGTGCCTTGCATCGTGTTCATCTTCCTCAGTCAGATTAGCTACTCAGATGGCAAAAAACATGTAAATTTAGGAGTGTACCTACTGATACAGGAGCAATAGAACGGTACATACTGCTAAAGCAGCCTCCAGGGAACCTCTATAAAAGGAGATATCAATCGTGGGAGAAAGTAGAAAAAGAAGAAGAGGAGAGAGAGAGAGAGAGAAACTACTATTTTTAGGGTATTCTTATACTGCAATGTTTTTGTCAAACACCACTGTCGTCTCCTCTTCTTTGAGTCTGCTTCGGGTAGTGATACTATAATCTTGATTCTCACATTTGATTCCTCTTTCATACATGAAATAACTCCTCAATCGCCTACCGACACCGACAAATTCTCGAACCATATGATATATTTGGAGTGTTTGCAAAGGTTAATAGCATTGCGTCGTTTTACGTCTCGTTAGGGTATGTTTTCCTCCAACCAATGTTTTTGGTGGGTTACAAATATAAATATATTTATTGTTGGTTAAGTGTACAATTGTGTCATGTGATGACTTGTAATCCACTAATCGAAAGTATGATTGCGGATAATTTCCTCAAATCAGGGACAGAGGAAAATATTATGTATCGCATTAATTCTAAATAGCTAGCCGCATCATGCGCATTCAAAATTTTTTTTCTTTTAATGAGAAAACCGGCCTTAAGTAGGTAAACCCCGGACCTACGAAATATAAGGTAAGGCACGGGTAAAGTTCATATAGTTGGCTGAAATATGGAATTATTTACAATTGGTGTGTGGGAACAGAATTTGTATCATGCATTTAATATACACGCCCATCACAATTCCTTAACCACTAGCTATAGAAAAAAAATAACGAGAAGTAAATGTTGAAAATGGTGATATATAGTTTTGGTTCTTCGTATTAGACCATTGGTCATTTATTTCTTTATTTTTATTTAAGAACGCAAGCAATCGCGTAGGTATCGTTCAAAAAGTCATAAACCTATCATACAATGACCAATTCGGTTCTAAATATTTCGATTGTGCCAATTTAATACTGAAAATTTTGACGATTATGCCAATTTTGTTCTAAACTTTTTGGCAATTTGACAATTTAATCCTAAACATTTTGTCAATTTAGTCCTTCCAACCAATTTTAGCGAGATATCGCTGACATAAACAATTTTTTCTAATTTCAATCTTCCTTTTTAACCTTTTCATTTCTTTCCTTTTCCCTTTTCTTTTTTCTTTTTCCCCTTTTCCTTTAGCCGAATCTAGCGAGGGCCCACCCTTATCAGCCCCAAGCGAGGGCAGCCCTAACCAAAGGTCGGCGATGGCAGAGTGAAAAAGGAAAAAAAGAAAAAGAAAACGAAAAAGATTGGAAAATTAAAAAAAAATTGCAAAAAATGTCCACGTATGCACCGGTCTGCCACGTAGGAAGGCCGGCACAAACTAGACCACCGCCATGTCAGCAATTTCCGACCAAAGTTAGCCAAAATGATTAAATTGGCAATTCGTCAAAACGTTTAGAATTAAATTGACAAAATTGAAAGATTTATGATTAAATTGGCAAATTATCGAAAGGTTCAGGATTAAATTGGCACAATCGAAAGGCTCGGGATTGAATTAGCCATTGTACAATAGATTTAGGACTTTTTGGACAATCCCTTAAAGTAGTTTATGTAACATTTATCGTGGCTCCAACCACATTGCTAAGAAAATTGCATGCATAAGTTTCCTTTCTAACGGAAACATTACACAAATGGCATACGCGTTCCCGAAAATGAACCTTTTAGTCATGCCGCAAAAGGATATGGTTTGGTTTGAATGTGTGTGAGCATGAGGGAGGGATTTCGAGATTGCTTGCTTCTCATCCCCAGAATCGGGACCCTTGCTATGCTGATCACAATAACATCCTTCCTCTTGCTTCCACTCCTCAACCTCTCTCTTAACGTTATGAATATCCCCATCCGGTCGCCCCGAGTTCGGAGAACCTAAACCCGGGCTACCAGCTCGCCACGTGGCGCTCGCGGGTCCCTTTCAAATGTCCGCCGCATGCGGATGGGCGCTTCTCCATCACCCAAAATTCACGTACGATTTGATGACGCAATGTGTCTATCATATCATCATGTATATAACGCCACAATCATTGATGATTGTCGGGAAATTAAATAAACCACTGGGACTTTGTTTATTTCGTAGAAAATTCCTAATTAAAAAAATATTTATCTAAAAATATAATTGCTTATATCGCTCGAAATAATTGATTAATCAAAAAAAAATTATCGACAGTCATTTATATATATATATTTATATATATATATATTTGTGGACAAATACTTCTGTAAGCGACCCAAGTTATTATTTCCAGAAAAATATCATTTAAATTATTTATTTTTCGCGAAATAAATACATCTAGATATTGATATAACTGCCGGTCCGATAAGGTTTCGAGAGATCGGGGCAATTCCACGTGGACGTTGTAGGAAAGATCGAAAGCAGATGCTTACAAGGTTCTCTTTCCAATAAAGTATCCGTTGAATTGGTGATGAATTATGAGTGGTTGACGATAACAAGCGTGTGTCCCTGTCTTTTTCCTTGAAGTCGGCTGAAGAATTTCCTAATTTCGAATTACGTCCTTATCCCAAATTCATGCGACTTCACTTAGCTATGAAATCTCGTGTAAAGGACCACTTTAGGCCCTTCTCGTTTATTTATTTATTTATTTTTGGACCGTCTCTAAGCATAGATTGAGGCCCGCATGATTGGAAAAAATTATCAAAACAGTCCTAAATTTATTGTAATTGTACTAATTCAATCAAAAACCTTTTGCATTTATGTCAATTCGGTCAATTGGACCAATTTTAGCCGGCCAGCGATCACGTGAATAATTTTTAATAATATTTTGAATGCTTGTTTTATATTTTATTTTTTCTTTCCTTTCTCTAGCCTGCGAGGTTGGCCCCGCCAGCCACCGATGAGGACGAGTCTCGCCCGCCCTTGCCGACAGTGTCAGTCACATAATTATTTTCTGAGGAGTTATACAAATGGCGTACGTATACGTGCCAATGTGCTCTTTTCTTCTAGTAACAATGTTTCATAATAATTTGGAAGAGGGCTTGTTGTGATAACTCGAATAGCATGGACATGAGTAGACAAATGACAAAGAAAAAGTACGGGAAACATTTAAGTGTTCTCCAATTGCTGCAGTAGTGATTTTTGCACCGGACAACTGCAGGGGACTCTTACGACTTTATAGAGTCGTTCGCCAGGAAAATTCAAAAGAAAAAAAAGTACGGGAAATAGATAAAGACCCTAAACCGGTGCGTACACCATAATTAAAGGTTCGATATTCTCCCGGCGACGTCGATCACGAACCGGTACCTCACGTCGTTCCTGGCGAGGCGGTCCATGGCCTCGTTGATCGCGTCCGGCATGATGACCTCGATGTCGCAGGTGATGTTGTGCTCGCCGCATAGATCCATCATCTCCTGCGTCTCTTTAATCCCTCCCGTCATGCTACCTTTCACGCTCCTTTTACCTAAGTCGAACGCAAATTTTTTTTTTCCGGGGTGAATAGTTACTACAGTGAATTTACGAACGTAATTGACGTGTTAGAGCTGCAAGATCAAAGAGGGGAAATTTACCGAAAATCAAAGGGAAGGAAGGCAATTCCAAAGGCTGATCAGGTGCACCCACCGTGACCAAAGTCCCATTCACTTTCAGCAATTCTAGGATGGGCCCAAGAGAGTGCTTGGCCGATACCGTGTCCAAAATGAAATCCAGGCTCCTCTTCCCGGCCTATGAAACACCCCAATAAATCAATAGATAGATAATGTATCGCCTCGAACTTGAGCATATCCTTAAACTGCTACATCCCGAATCTTATAAGATATAAAACATGTAGAGGGTATTTCCTTCTCCTTGAGGGTACGGAGCGTACGGGCACCAACATATTAAAATAAAAAGTGCACATGTGAAGTCATATCTTTAGCATAAATTAGTAAAAGGGTTCAACTTATTCTTTAACATGCTGAGACTTGGACCAAAACTTAGACCAGACCGACCAAAACTTAGACCAGACCTGCATTTGCTGAGAATTGGTGCTGACAATGAAATCATCTGCGCCCAAGCGCCCCTTGGCCTCCGTCTCTTTGGATGGGGACGTGCTGATGACCGTTACGTGGTGGCCGAACGCCTTCCCGAACTTGACCGCCACGTGGCCGAGCCCGCCGAGCCCCACCACCCCCATCTTCTTCATCTTCTTCCCCGGCGAGCCTAGCATGCCGCTGTCCTTCAGCGGGCTGAACACCGTGATCCCCGCGCACAGCAGCGGCGCCACCGAGTCCATGGGCAAGTTCTCCGGTATGCGCACCACGTATCTGCATGAGCACGTGACCCGGATCAAAGGATAGTTTTACATCCGAATCCCGTCCATTCCGTAAAATTGGAGCCTCAAAGGGCTGGACGCGGGTCGACTTAGATCGGACCGACTTTTATTTGTCGAGCATGTTTTTCTTATGAGTTTGTCCAACATTTTCACAGTCCCCTACAATAATTCATAGATTCCGACTACTTGTCTGAGTTTTGCTGCAATAGGGTCGTTAATTTATCGCGACCAAGCGAAACTTTCGATGGGCTCTGTTTTTTGAACCTCCTCTGTCTTTCGATCAAGCAAAATGAACAAGAGATGGATATAGCGAAGGCGAGAGGTTACCGGTAATCGGCAACGATCATGTTGGAGTAGCCGCCGTAGGTGATGGAGCCGTCCCAGAAGATGCCGTTGTAGGTGAACTGGATCTGGTCGCAGTAGTTCTCCTGCGAGTTGGTGCAGAACTCGCACTCGAGACAGGAGGCTGCCAAGCAGCCCACCCCGACCCGGTCCCCGATCTTGAACTTGCCCGCGTTGCATCCCGCCTTGATCACCACCCCGGTTATTTCGTGCCTGTTCCGTTCATCACACAGAAATCATCCCGTTAGCTCGCCTTGTCGCGATAGCAATAAACGAATCCAATCACACTCCCTATTCGAATGAGATGAAGACGGCGCCTAGCTCAAAGCGGGCCTAATTTTGTTTTCTTAAATTCGTTCATTTTCAAAGGCAAAAATGCATATTGATTTATAAACGAGAGAGAGAGAGAGAGAAAGAGAGAGTACCCGGGGACAACAGGGTACATGGTGATGCCCCAGTCGTTCTTGGCATGGTGGAGATCGGTGTGGCAAATTCCGCAGTACAAGACCTTGATCGTCACATCGTTCACGCCATTCTCTCTGTTTCATCATCACCACAAAAGCAAAGCCACCACACATTACTCATCTTCGGTGCTACCTACCAATGGAAGATTCAAAATGCCTTCACTAAGCGCACGGTCCGGACATTCCCAGGCTCACCTGCGCTTGAAGGTGTAGGGCTTGATCTCGCCGGACGAATCATGCGCAGCCCAGCCGGAGACCGTGAGCGTGTGGTTCTGAGTCTCTTGAGCCATCCAGATGATCAGAGAGAACTAATGTACCCTGCGATCGAAGTGCTGTTCTCGCCCTTGTGCCTTCTGCCTCTGCATGGGGCGGGGGGCTTTTATAGCCGGCCGTGCAGGTTCCAGGAATCGAGCCGTGGGTTGACCCTGCCCTTTACTTTAGAGAAGACTCGAGGACGTCAAGATCAGTAAGTCACATAGCCAACTACTCCAAAGTGTGTTTCCAAGTGGAGGGAGCGGAAAAGAATATTGGATAGACCCTCGTCATGAAAGATCGCACATTACAGCATTTCTTCACCACAGAGACGATTGTTTTATGTGGCGTTCGTGGTTCTCTAGTGAGAACGAGTGCACAGCTCAATCATTTTCGTTGCCATTTTCTTTGCTTTTTCTTTTCTTTTCTTAATAGATGGCCCGCCATAGGGCTTTGTTGGGGTGCGCAACACTCCATGACAACCTTATTTGAGAGTCTTGTGACTCGCATGTAATTCATGACTTAAATAAAATGTAAATGTGAATTATGCAAACGGTATTTTTGTTTAACTCGAGGCAGGAGGCTGCCATTTTCATATAGATGTAAAATCATAGTCCCACAAAATTTAATTCTGATGATCCATAAGAGTCAGCCCAGACCAAAAAACAAAAATACCGTTTGCATAATTCACATTTGCATTTTATTTTAGTCATGAATTACATGCAAGTCACGGGACTCTCAAACAAGATTGTCATGGAGCGTTGCGCATCCCAACAAAGCCCTATGGCGGGCCATCTATTAAGAAAAGAAAAGAAAAAGCGTTACTCTCGCTGGTTGTCCTTAGCCAAATCAATATAACATCAACATCCAAGTCTCAAACAAGGACCAAGTCTTAAATGATAAGAACAGGCAAGGACAAATAATTACTGACTAGTGGGGGCGACTTGCTAGTTTTTCTTCTTAGATGTAAAATCACGGTCCCACAAAATTTAATTCTGATGGACCAGCAATAAAACCTTATTTATGGTAGTTTGCTATAACAATTCTTCGCGCAACGAACCTTGAAAAGTCAATAGTTGTCATTAACTCTTCCCTCGATCAATAAAACATTTCCCAGACGCAAACAATGATTTCCATCAACGCTCTGACTTATTGGAATAGATGCTTCCGTTGGAGGCCATTACAATTTGCCAGTAATGTCTCTTGACAGAAGAACGGACAACACTGATGGGCCTCGGGCTCCAATTCCCAAAAACCAGTTTTACTTAGCAAAGTCCCACCGGCAAATTAACGGAAAGAATTGTTCTTCTTCAAACTATTAATATGGCTTTGATGTTGATCTACCTGAATATTTTTCGTAGATTTTTGTTTTGGAAAATGATAAAGAGTACCCCCCAAGGCACTTGTCAATAGTCATTAATTGTGCTTTGGTAATATTAACATTTTTATTTGAAGCATGTCGGTTTTTTGGAATATGCTCCTTTTCGATTTCCAAAATTGTGTTGATAGTGCCCCTTAAGGCACTTTTTAACAAGAACCTCTTCTTTTTCCAACCAAAAAACAAAACCAAGAATCTCTTCTTCTTTTTCAACTATGTGTCAAGCGCTATAACTATTGCCGCCGGTTAACTCCACCATGCATGCCACGAGTTTAAGGAACTAGTGCCAAAACAAACAAGCCATTGAGTCAGCGAAGAATAAGTTGTTTTCCACACAGTTGGGGGGAAGCAATTGCTGATAACATAAGAGAGCATCAGTTAGACACTTGAGAGAAGATTTGTAGCCGACGCAACACAAGCAAGACTCAACACGTATTGATATGTTTCGGCAAAAACCAATATTTCATCCTATTGTGCAATATTCTTTTTAGTCATGCCACATATTATTAGAAACTGGCACACACCGATTAATGAGACGAAAATGTTCAATGTATTCCCTGAACATTAATTAATGAAAATGATTGCATTGAACATTTTCATATAGTTCAAGGACTGAATTGAACATGTACCAAAGTTTAAGGATGACATTGAACAAATTAAAAGTTCAAGGACCATACTGCACATTGAGTTAAAGTTCAGGGACTACATTGAACAAATTAAAAGTTCAGAGACCAAATTATAAATTGAGTCAAAGTTCAGGAACTGTTTGTGTTATTTTGCCGTAAAAATATAATTTGGGATAAACATGGCCAACTGGTATTAGTTGGGATTTTATGTCGTACTAGATATAAAAACCTTTCAACCGGTCATCGCTTCAATAATTGAACTCTAAAACCAGCTATCATGATTAGGAAGGAGTGTCAATGGTTCAAATTGGGTCCAGCCACCACGATACCCGACTCGAACCGTGTCTGGTACTACGGATTGAAGCACTACCTACCATCGTCCCTTGGCCGCCCATTGGGATTGAAATGGAGGTCAGGACCTTCGTCAACTTCTAAGGTCGGTGACAATTGCGACAGCCTTGGAGTAAAAGGGTTGATCCAATCCTTTCTTCTTCTTTTTTGGGGGGGTGGGCGCAATGGCCCTCAATGTTAAATATAAATCAACGTGTTCTATTTTAGGTGTTCACGCGACTCGTCTTGAATTTGACGATGTTGAGTATTGTCGTGCCAATTAAATTATAATCGTGAGTGCATTTGAATAGGATGAACATGTATGAACTTGAAATCAGAACTATGGGGAAAATCAAATTAGACAGATTTAAAATTGAAAAAAATCGGGCTTATCCTGAACTAGTCCGGATGGATTCACGTATGCTATTCGAGCCGAAAAAACCAAGCTCAAACAAATCACGGATCGAACCGACTCCCTTGTCTCGAATTAGCTATCTAAACCCCCCCAACCCGCCCCCACCCCTTTGGTCTTTGTTATGTTATGATGTTGAACATTCTTATGAACCTTTTCCATTGTTGGCAGGCTGCAAACTAAGTGAGCGGGCCATGCTATTGGACATATGCACCAAAGTGAGTGGAATTTTTTTTTCTAAAGTACAATCACACGTGGAATGTTATTGTCATATGAGATTGAGATTTCTCCATCAGTGAACTTTTTTTGATCGATCAATGTCGTTTTTTTATCTATCCTACTCTAACTCTCAACTCACTCTCAGACTTTTGCTCTGCCTCGTGCAAGGCGTGAGAGTCAAAACCTATATATGAAACTACACGTCCCACCCTTAACCCCTCTAAGAAGGTAGGGATTCGAACTCTCCACATTTCCCTTTTTAAGTAAGTAAAGTGGCCACTTGGATAAATCTCAGTGGTTCATCAGTGTTATTTAACAGTTGATAACTTGATAGTGCGGGATTCAATATTATGTTGTGAAAGTGTCAGTGGCAAAAAATCTGAGTTGAAAGGAAAAAACATTGATGGAGAAAAAGTGGAAGACCCCCTTCAAGGAAGCTGCGGCTTATGGAGAAAGTAGAAGACCCACTTCGAGGAGGTTGCACCAGTAGGGCCGATGAAGCGTGGGAAAGTGGACAAAGCATGGGGGGATCTGAAAGCTTTGAATCCATTTCGAAAGTCGAGACGAGTTAAGAAGCACGGTATTGCCAATAGGCATGCAGCTTTATTGGTAACGAGATTAGGAGATGAAGACTCTAGTATAACGGGTGTGAAGTTCGATTCCCGCGCTTTACAAGAAGCAGGACAAAAGTAAGAGAGCAAGGAGAGTTAGAGATAGAACATACCACAAAAAAAAAAAAACAAGAACCACGGTGGTGAGTTGCTTTACTGATTCTCATCCAGATAGTCGGCTATTTATGATCGTGTCCCTCGATTATTAAAAAAAAAAAATTGGACCGAGTTGATATGACCTCGAGTCTCAAATTCTTGGATCGGTCTGAGGGACGGTAATGCTTAGATAGCATCCGATGAAAACGGCTATGAGATCGTGGTCTGTTAAAGAGCTTACGTTTTACGACGTTAATCCATCGTGAAAGTACATTTGCCCGTTAGATTTACCATAGTTTGAAGTACATCTGGTTAGGTCTGCGACCCAAACACATGATGAACGTTTGGTTAGGTGAAATTGGAAACAAAAGAATTGACACCAGGGATAGCGACAGAGATTTTCCAAATATTGAAATGTCCTTTGGCTAAACTAACGCTTGGCAATGAATGCAGGAAAGTCTCTTTTTTTATCAAATGATTTGCAGCTCCGTGCTCTAACCAAATGAAAATTACGGAATTCCTTGTCGGTATTTTAAGTGATGTGACAGACTTTAAATGAGTCGTTGAGCAGATTAGTCATTTTTAAAGATTTTTCTATAATCGATTGCTCGTACCGTTTACAAAAATGAATGAATAGAACATATTTTCATTATCCACAAAAATATTTAGACATAAATTATTATTGATAAAGAAAACTTTTTTTCATTGACTAATCATTTTAAGCAATACAAGTGATTATTCTTAGGAAAATGTTTTACGAATCATTCATTTTCCCGATTGCTTGAAACATTTACAAATGTGAATGAATGAAAAATCTATTCATCGTACACGAAAATGTTTAGACAACAATTATTGTCAACAATGAAAATATTTTCCATTAACTAATAATTTCAAGTGATATAAACGATTATTTTTAGAAAAATATTTTCTAAATTATTCATTTTCCACAAAACAAAAAAAGTCTTAGTATCATTATTTAATAATATTTTAAATAAATAATGATGCAAGGAACCAAACACGTTCAAATTTCTCTGCTAGAAAGGAATTCTGATATCATCGTATGATTGGCTCATATCACAATTTACCTTGAATTTATTTTTGCAACATCAAAAACCCCAACTTGTACCCACTATAACACATTTATCATAAACTTTTTCTTATGCCATAAAAAATGTCAAACTTATATCTATATGACACATTTACCTTCCATCATAATTTCATTAAATGATTTTCAGTCAAAACAATATTATTTTTATTTCACTTAAGCCATGTGGGTACCATGTCAACATTGTTTGCTTTTTGGTGTCCATATAGGTAGATTTTAAACAATTGTCGTTGATAGAACTTTGACAAAGGGTGAATGTGTTACACAGGTACAAATTCGGGATTTTTTGTATCACAGAAAATTTTTTATGATATATGTGAATTTAGGGTTTTTAGTATTTAAGCGGTGAAAGAATTCGAACTCCCTTTTAGTCTAGAAAGGAGTGTGTCTGTTTGGCATTTTGCTCATGCAAGCTGTTGAATTACAAAGGTGAATGCCGCAAGCCAGTTCCCACCAAGAGCCTTCCCCGATCAAAACCCACACACTCGGAGAAAACCCTTAAGCAACTCCGGCGACGGCTAGGCGGAGAAGAATGTCCGACTATCGGGAAAACATTCCGACTCAAGATCAATGCTTATGGTGCCAAAAGGCCATTTGCAAAGCATTTGACCACCTATCATTCGGCAAATCGTGGGACGAGCAACTTGAGGAGGCACCAAGCAAGATATGATGCAGAGATGTCCCGGGTTGGAAGGAGCTCTTCAAGTACAATGTCGCATACCACAAGCCCATTCAAGTACGACGAGGCGAGGAACCAGCGGGAGTTTGCATTTTATTGTCTTGCTACAGAGCAACCCTTTGGCTTCATCGAAGATCCCCGCTTCGTCCATTGCATGCGGGCAGCACTACAACAAGTACTAGAAATTGCAAGTCAATCTAGAAAGAGCAAAGAGCAGTGTTGGTGAATCTACTGTTGACCAGTAACTTTCGAATCTCTTTAACTTTTGATTTATGGACCCAACCCTATGAATTACTCTTACCGTGTCGTCATTGACCATTATGTTGATGGGGAATGAGAATCCCATCACCGAAGTCTTACACATATGGAATTAATATTTTCACATGATTTCCGAATTCTAATCGTCGAAATGATGAGAGCTACTAAAGAATTTGGCATCTTCGATAAAATCTCTAGCATCACCTTAGATAACACGAGCGTGAATCCTGATCTAGAGTAGAGTCCAATGGCTAAGTCTCGTTTGCAATAGGATTTCCTTCTACGTGCGGTGCGTGGGTGCATTCAAAACAGTTTTCGTCAGTTTAACAATTCTTTGGCCACTATAGACGAGCGTGTTCAACATGTTAAACTAACCCCACTCGAGCGTGAAGTGTTGGAGGAAGTTGAGAAATTCCCTCTAGACGTAAGAATAGGGTGGAATTCAAAGAAGGCATGCGAGAAGATGGGTGTGTTGACGCTTTACTCTACCAATCAGAGCGGGAGTGTTGGGTCTTTCACCGTTGGCACAATGGATTGCCGAAGTCTCTAGGACTAGTTGCAGGTTTTCAGCGATGTAACCGATACTTTGTCGTCCAGCAATTATGCGTCAAGCGACGATGCTGATCCATTTCTAAGAGTGATGCCAATCGAACTATCGAATAAGGAGAGTGATTACTTGTTCGGTCAAAATAAACAGTGCCGAAAGAATATTCAATTACATAAGCCGTGGAAGTTTTAAGATCATTGTAGTTTAACTTTTAAGACTCAATTAACATTTTCGCGATAAGTTTTCAGACTTAAAAACGCATTAAAATATCCCTCCAAATATAGACCGGCAAAGCAAGTCAGAGCATTAATTTGTTTTGGGATGAATGAAAAATCTCAAACTGATACACCTATAATAAATATACCCCAAACTAATATTTTGACTTCCAAAAATCCCAAACTGGTATTTTTTGGACAAATTTACCCTTCGTTAGTTTTTATTAAATTGGATTAATGTCACAAAAAAGCACAAGGTACACCTATATAAACACAGAGTAAATGATAAACAGAGGGTAAAACCCCCAAACTATTATATCATCAACTGTCACGTGTCATCTAACTCAGTAATTTGGCGATAACTTTCAACGGAAACTAACGGAGGGTAAATTTGTCACAAGTGTACTAGTTTGGGGTTTTTTGTGGTAAAAAAATTGATCACAAGTGTATCAACTTGGAGTTTTTGGTGGGGCTAATTCTAAAAAAAAAAAAACTCCAACTTTATCTTGAATGACAATTTTGGTCCGAACTTTTTTTTGTCTAAATTAAAAGCATCAACTTTTATTTGACCATGTGATGTGAAATTTTCAAATCGTTTGAGTCAGATTTGAACTTCAAATGAAAATTTATGATTTTTTATGAGATAAAAAAAAATTCGGACCAGAATTGTTACTCAATATAAAGTTTATATATATACATTTTTTGGAATTAACCCGTTTAAGTGGTATTAACCATTAGTTATAATAAAATACTGAGAATCACGAAAAGGGCAAAAAGAGAAAAAAACGAACCCTAAGAAAACCACGGACACGCGCAGGCAGCAGTCAGAAAGAGGGAAGAGAAGAGAGAGAGAGAGAGCCAGCGAGCGGCGAGCGAGTGTGGGGGTGGGGGGCACGCACACGCAAGGCTTGGAGCTGCCACGGCGGGGCTTCGGGGGGGTTCGCGTCGCTCTTCTCCGCCCTCTCTCTCCACGCGCCGCCCCCGCCAGATCCGACCTCCCCATGACCCGGGCACCGCCGCCAAACCCTAAATTCCCTTCTCCCTCCCTCCCCCTCCCTCCCTCTCTCTCTCTCCGTCTCTCCATCTCCGCCGCGTCTGAGCTCCGTGCTCCGGCTCCAGCCGATTCCTCTCCCACGATGATCTCCATTTCGCTCTGATCATCGTCGTCATCGGCTCTCGCGGCTCCGGTTCTCTGCATCCCCCCCCCCCCCCCCCCCCCGCCGACCGACCGACCGAAGGATGGCCGCCTCCGCCGATCCTCCCTCCAGCCACCACTTCCCCCGCGGCTCCGACCCCGCCGCGGGCAGCCCCCGGTCGCGCCGCAAGAACCTCCCCTCGCCCCGGTCGCAGGTCGCCCGCCTCGAGCCGGAGGCGCCGTCGCCGTCGCCGTCCCCTCCCCCGCGGTCGCCGGCGGCTGCGGCGTGGGAGCAGGCGCCGTGCTCCCCGCGGAGGTCGGCGCTGCAGCCCGAGGTCGGCTCGGAGGAGAGCTCTGATGGAAGCGGGGGCAATGTCGTCTCGGTCCAGCCGAAGAAGCCGGCGTGGAACAAGCCGTCGAGCGAGGCTGTCGACGCGGGTCCTGTGATGGGAGACGCGGTGTCTTGGCCCGCCTTGTCCGAGTCGGCGAGGGCTTCTCCCAAATCGTTGAGCATAGACCCTCCGTCTTCCAAAGCTGCGTCTGTAGAGTCGGTCCCCAATTCGCAGGTTCGCTTGGAAATTTCCCCGGTTAGTGAGTTTGTTCGTCAGTCTTTTGTTGTAGTAGCAATTGTTTTATTTTGTTTGTCATCTGCGTCGCTGAAAATTTTATGGCTTGGAAATGATGAATAGCATCTCGTTGTTTATATGATTTAGATGTCGAATTCTCAACCTCGGTGGTGTTGTCGTGCTGAGCTTGTCAATCGTGGAAAACGGCTAAGATTAGATATTCTATGTCTCCGTAATGAGTACGAGATTAACCCTCGATCGAGTCGCCTTCTGTCCTTGGTTGCCTCCCAATTGTATACTATAGAACCGATTCGTGAATATAACTCATTGCATGTCTTTGATATGGAAAAGGGGCCTCCGGTGCTGCATTCACCACAGAAGCAAGCTGCCTCCAACAATTTGAATGCTAACTCGACGTCAAATAACTCACCGACTGCTCGTCAAAAATTGAACAGGCGCGGTGGTGGTGCAAACAGCAACTTTCCAAATGCATATGGGCAGGGTGGTTTTGCTCACCATCCCATACCACCGCCTCCGCCTCCGCCATTACCGCATTTCCCAGTATTCCATCCAAACCCTTATGGAACTTTTATACGACCAATTGCCAATACGACTGTCAGGGATCCCACATACAAGGGCAATAACTGGGACGTAAGACCAGCGAGAGGTTTTGTTTCTCCAGCGCATGTTATGACCGATCATCGTAACTCTTCTCGGAGGGGAAATTCTGGACCTCATCATCGTGGAGACGGTTCACCTCGTAACAGTAATAATAATGGCACCAGGCGCGATAAGGACCGTGGAAATTTCTCGGGTGCTAGAGATCTTAATGTGCAGCCTCATAGAGCAAATCCTAGAGGCTTTGTGCGGTCTTCGCCTCCACTACCTACCTCCCCTCCATTTGTTGGTCCACCGCCCATGAGACCTCTTGTACCTATGAATTTTTCTGGTAAGCAGAGCCTTATGTTGAATTCATGGTCTTATCATGTGGTTTCTTGACTAATGTGGCTCTTCCTTTCAGATATAACTCCTCAATTCTATATTCCTGCTTTGCCTATGGAACCATATAGTGGTGGGCCATTTTTTCCTCCTCCACCATCCACTCCAATGTTTATGCCTGTTTCAGACCCTTCTCTTCCCAGTCACATTGTCCATCAGATAGAATATTATTTCAGGTTTCTCAGTGGACTTCTAATATCCTTAATCAAGTGATTACTAATTTCCTGGTCATCTTACTTTCTTGACCAACACTGTACAATGCATTTGTTTCAGTGATGATAACTTGGTTAAGGATGAGTTTTTGAAAGCAAAAATGGATACTGAAGGATGGGTTCCCATCTCTTTAATAGCATCTTTTCCTCGAGTAAGTTTCTCTAATCTAATTTGACCATCATATACATGTTTTAAGTTCTCGTATTGATGCTATGTTATCTGAAACAGTTTTCATGGACAGTAGCTGATGACATACTGTTCGAAATGATATTGTTCTATGATCATAGTACGACCAATCCCATCCAATGGAGCAACATGACTAACACTCACCATTTTCTGTAATTTCAGCACCGGAATATGAGTTGATTACTTTTTCACCTTTACTGAATTAATATGCCTGCCATATATAAAATATGATGTGCGATGAACATTATGATGGCTTGAGATTTTGGCATGATATGGTTGATAAAAGGAATCAAATTTTAGAAGTCTCACGCATAGATTTCATTCATGTTTAGATCTTGAGAAATCATAATATTTGGAGCGAGGATGACTTGGATAATGATCACGTTAAGATGTAAATGGTGTAAGTGTGCCCACAGAAGGAATTATGTTGTAAAGCTGGTTCAATAGGACTCATATCTTGAGGTGTAAAGGAAGCAATGATAAGCTTGAGGATCACGTCACACCAAAAGGGGAAGAACATGTTGAATGTTCTGGGAATATTTGCTCGCACGCCTATCTTTTTATATGCTGCTTGGGGTTAAACAGTCATGGAGATATTTGTGTGTGGTGTCAAACAATTCCATCATATAGGAAGTATCTAATAAAGAGGATGTTGCAGCATACTGAATTCCCTTATAGTGAGCCTAACTTAGTTGAGTACTTTGAAGAGAATTTACGACAAACAATAATTCAAAACAAGTAAGTTCCTCCTGACATCACACCTAAAGCTTCTTGAGCATCACAAAGTACGATTTCTTAAGCAGCATACTTAAGAGAAAATTTTTATAGCTCAATTCCAAAGCAAAGACTCGCTACGTTCAGTAAATTATCAACTCAATGTAGAATAATATTTATAGGCTCTTCCAGAAATTATACTTCTAGTTGTTGACATAGGAAATCTCTAAACAAGAAATATGAATTTTATAGGAAGCCTCTGAAGATGAACCACCATGTCTTACTTAGTTTTCAAAGTTTACATCTTACTCTTATGTAAGATCACTAATTTAACTCGAGCAGTATCGTAGTCCTCTCTGGACACATCAAAGTTGTGGGCCAATACAAAAGTCCATTTTCACCAAAACTCGCCATTAATGAAAATACCACCATAAATGTCTACTTGTTCAATCTTGTCGGCTACATCAAGGGGTAGATGCTTTCTTTAGGCAGTTGATAATTTATGAAGCCAGTGAACTCTCTCTCTCTCACACACACACACACACACACACACATTCATACAGCATGTTACCTCAATGGATCATTTGCGCCTTGGTCTTTCCCAATCGGATCATCAATGTATGACTGATTGCCTTTCTGTTTGCTTTCTTTCCCATGGCTCCAGCTCCCCTGAATCTCTTGGTTTCCTTGTTTACTTCTCTGAGTATCCGACCTTATTGCATTAGATCAAGATCGCTCTGTGGCTGTCTTTGCAGGTTATGAGCCTCACTACCAACATCCATCTTATATTAGAATCCTTGAGAGATTCAACGGTTGTGGAAGTCCAGGTATTTTTTACATTATTAGTTGTAAGTCTATTATGTGTTAATATATTTGATCAGGCTAGGATGATTATCTGGTGCTGTTTAGATCATCTTTTTGAGGCTTGTTGTTGAAGAATTGTTGAAGAAGTATTTGGTAGATATTTACATGCTGTTTGTGCAAATACTGTCTGTTTCCATAGGGGCAAAATGGCTAAACCAACAATGTTTGCTGTTAAATGTAATTGCAGGACGATAAAGTGAGGAGGCGGAATGAATGGGCTAAATGGATATATCGTGGCTCGCTGGCCTCCAGATCATCAAGTTACGATGAACTTGCTACTTCTTTCGAAAAGATGACAGCTGAGGAAGTCCCTGCCAACCAAAATGATATGACTGGTGAGGCAGACGTGCACCGTGATGCTGTTTCAAGATATTCACCAAAGTCTACTGACCAGGTCCAGCATCCCGACACCGTTGGTATTGACTATTGACACCACCTGCTGAAGCATAAATCCATTATTCTGTGGAACCACGAAATTTGAAGTAAGTTTAATCCCCAGAGGAAGAAAGGGGGAATTCAGTTTGGAAGTATTGAGATGTAAAGATAAAGAGGCCGATGCTGTAAAAGGTGGGTTAGCACCTGACTTTTTGGCTTTCCCTCGGTGAGGCCGATATTGGCTTTCAGTTGTTTCGATGATGGAGACAGTGAAAGCAAAATAAGAGATGCGTATGTTGCTAAAGATTCAGACAGTGTAAACAAGGAATAGCTCATACGATTCCCTGGGGTTTTGTACTATTGGTTTGTCGGCTTGTATAGTTTCGTCAATACGTTGAATGTTGTTTTACCTCGTGTCTCTGGGGTCATCGGAATTTGGGGAGCAACTGGAGGTTCTTTCCAGTGGTACACGTTTGTTTGTGAATCAATAATAACTCCCGTCTAGGAGTGAACAAATGATGTTGCGGTTCATCTCAGCTGCATGGACTTTGGAGAAGAGATGAATCTTTTATGCTTTGTATTCCTTGGCCCATTTTGTTGCGGGAATCGCCCCTTTCAAACTCTTAGATATTCTTGATGGAGTTGCATTAGTTATGAGGTGTTGGACACATAGATATTACATCCTAGACAATAGTATCTTCCTTCAGATTGACGGTGCCCTGCGTATAGTTGATGTCGTGATCATCCATCTTTCACAGTCGAGGTATGTCATTGGATTTGTTTGGTCGACAGAGTTTCTAACTTCGCTCGTTTTGGAAAATCTCTGGCTTTCTTTTGTGGTTTGGTTTTGTGGTTTAGACATTATGCAGTGGCCGTTCCGCGCGTTTCTTCTTCCACCTCTCCTCCGCCCGGAATGTCCTTTACATAGCGAAATTCTTACCAGGTACCATTTTACTCTCTTGTAGCCTGCGCGGTGAACTTGTGTAGCGTTCACCCAAGAAGCACCAAGACGAGGCACGGTTCAGCCTTGACGTCACAGAATGAAGTTTTGAGCTCGTCGGCCCCTTTCGCCATGTTTTCTGTAAAGATAACGTGTGACTAGTTGTGCGCGAGACTCGTCTTGTGCGAGGGGAGATGCACCATATCTTAATGGGTTTGGCTTGGATTTTCAGCTCACCTCGCACTCAGCAGAGGAAACGCCCAATTCTGAAGTGACGCCTCTCCCATCAGTCTTCAGATTCCACTGCTTATTTTCACTGGTCACCGTTGAAGATTGAAGGGACTCCCTTCCTAGGCCTGCAAAAGAGCGACTCATCTTTTTCAGAGAATATCTGTCGATAGTGCCTTATCCCTCAGAATACAGCGCCTCTAGTAGTACTCAGAAATTATACAAACTCTCTCTCTCTCTCTCTCTCTCTCTCACGGGTCCTGAATTGTACGTAACCAAACACTCCAAAGGACTGCTCCCCGGACCCCAGCTCGCATGGCTCTCTCCAATCGACACGTCCTCGGTATCTCGCATCCATTGTCCATCCCTTCCCGTTAGTCTCCCTCGTTATGATTGACCAACGTCCTTTGGTCCTCTTGGCAAGTGGAGATATAAAGCCCGGGGAGGACGTGAGCTTTTCTGTGCCTCCGAAGACAAAAGTTACGAGAGGCTTGCTCCGGTACACACTGGGTCACGTCACCATCACATCCCAAGAATTTGCCGAGCGTCCGTGGTACCAACTGATGAGCGTCACGACCAGAACATTAGTTCACTGGCGACTTTCTTAATCGCATGGCGGGGCGAGGTACGGTTCAAGTGCGTGTTAGCGCGCGAGGTGGGGCTGGGGGGGCCTCATGTGCATGCACTCCCTAGCCAGACAAAGCTAAAAACCGGAACACGACAAGAACCAGGTAGACTTCAGTGGGCGTGAGCACGGTCCAGAGAAGAACTGAGAATCGAACTGGACCGATGGGTCCAGTTCAATTCTCGGTTCTAGAGAGGAAGGTTCCGATTTCCGGTTCCATTTTTTTTGGAACCGGAACCAGAACTTGGAACCGAAATCGAGAACTAGAATTGAAATCGGGAACCGGGAACCCTAAATCTAAAATTCCTAATTTACTTATTACTCCTCACTCCTCACTTCTTGGCTCTCAAATTCTTATCTACATATGCATGCTCATTACTTTACTTGACTTGTCATGTAGAACATTTCCTAAAATTTATTTAGACCTTTGATATATTGCGGTTTTGGAGTACCCACCATTCGCATGCTCATTACTTTGCTTAATTTGCTATGTTTGGGTATTCATTGTCATGTATCTATGCCAAGTTTTTGTTCTTTAGTGAGGTCGATTGTTTTCGTCATTCACTCTTTCATGAAATATCTTAAGCTTGATGATTGCATAGTTAGAACCATGGCGATAATAGATGAAAAAAAAAAGATGTAGCTACAGTTACAAATAATCGATACGTGACACTTCAATTTTAAAATTAAAACTATTATTAAGTTGTCAACTATGATTGTTGTTTCTTTTGATTTTAGGTGGTTAGAATTTGGAACAAATTTTCATGGATGTTTGAGGACCAAAAGCTCATCTTTCTTTCCTTTTTCCCGCTTCCCGTTTTGTTTGTAGTCCTAGATATGGATATTGTCTTGATCGACATGCTAATCGCTTGTGATTTATGTTGCATATCAATTCACGCAATAACTTTTTATTTTAATTATATATATTTAAACCATAATGCTAGGAAAATTAGTATTTTGTATTCTCTTTAGTGAATAATAAGATTATTCGGTATTATTGCGTTCATTTTCGTTTTGTTTAACAAAAAATGATTAAAAAAAAAAAAGAAAACCTGTTGGACTCTGGAACCTGTGACAGGGTAGATTCTAGATTTCAGGTTTTGACGGATAAGTTTTAAGTTTCAAAAAATAAAAAATCTGTACCTGAGAATAGATTTCAGGTTTTACCTTAAACCTGTAAAAAACCTGGAACCACTAACCCTAGACTTCACATAAACCCCCCCACAGCCACCCCCTCTCCATCTTCTCCGTCTCAGGAGCCTCTCCCGCTCCCGCGCTTGACTTCTTCATCTCCTCCCTCCAACCGTGTCCACCATGTGGTCTGCACCATGCCTGAACAAGAACACCAGCGCCAGCAACAGCAACGCTGACAACAGCAACGGGGTTTCCTCATCGTCTCCTCTGCCTTTCTCGCCGCTCTCTCCCCTCCCCACCACCTCATCGACCTCGATCAAGTCCATGGAGGACATCTGGAAGGACATCAACCTCGCCTTCCTCAAAGACCCCCCCGAACACCGCCGGTCTGCCGCCCCCGCCGCCATCTCCACCTCCATCGATGGCGTCGGCTTCCAGGGCGCCGTTCTCACCAACTTCTTGGCTGGGCCGGCAAGAGATTACTCGCCGCGAGGATCCGGTTTTGGCTCTGACGTTGGGGCTACCAGGTTGAGCCTGAACTGCTCGGAGCCTGATGCTGAAGGTGTTGCTGCTGCAGGACAAGTTCAAGTGCCGTGTGGTCGCGGGGGCGGCGTTGGCGCTGATTCGCCTCCTTTGGTTCCAGGGTTTTCTCCTTTCTGTGGGAAGAGGAGCTCCGACAATGGTGGCGGCAATGATCGGTGCGATCGCAAATTCAAGCGCTTGGTCAAGAACAGAGAGTCCGCTGCCCGTTCCAGAGCCCGAAGACAGGTCTCTGAACTCCTTGCGTGAACTCAGTTTACTAAATGAAGCCAATCAAGTTCGTAACATGTTAAAACTACAAAGAACATGACGTCCTAGAGTATGATTCATTCTGTAGGATACTTTATCGTGAGGGGTGTGTGTGTGGAGCTATGAGTTTTGGAAGCAGTAACGTTTCATAACATATGTTCACGTGTGTTGAGTCATGACTTTGTTGTCCTATTAGGGTTGTAAATTTGTTCTTTCTGGAAATTTCATGTTTCAGGCGTATACAACCGGGCTGGAGATTGAGATCGCCCGTTTACAGAAAGAGAATGCTAAGCTCAGAAGACAGCAAGAAAAGGTGCTTCCTTTTGTACACCGAATAACTCTGCTGTTGGCTGAATGTTGAGTTCTCTTTTTGTGTTTCCCTATCTTAGTTTTGTTTGCGCCAGATTACTAAGTTTCCTTATCTGGGTCACTAGAATCACGACAGCCCCATGCCCATTAATAGCCAGACAGTCCTGACCTCTGATTTCTCTGATAATGCCACTCATACGACATGTTTGCAGCGATCATCTACAGAAAGATGTGTGGCAAACGCCTCTTGGTTTTCACGGTCATGTTGTCAACCAGTTAAAACTTGCCTGACTAATCTTTGTGCAGGCACTGAGCATTTCTCTGTCATTATCGTTTTTTACTATCATTGTCGTCGTGATTACCATAACTTTGTTGGCGTGCATCTGTTGTGTTACAGCTTCGCTTGGTACCTCGTACTGAGATTCCAAAGAAGAAGACACTCCAGAGAACCTTTACATCCCCATTTTAAGGAGACATGGCGGTCTCTCTCTCTCTCTCTCTCTCTCTCTCTCTCATACACACGCACTACTACTTTCATTTTGACTCTCACCGAACCGAATATCTCCAGTTAGAGAGAGAGAGAGAGAGAGAGAGAGAGAGAGAGAGAAGGCGAAGGTTTGAATGGATCTTTTTCCTCATGGACACATCCCAATCAAGTGGCTGCAGAAAAGAGAAGGTACAAGGTTCTGGATAACCGAGAAATGCAGGGGACCCATGAAGTCTGTTTCTTTTCTTTAACAAAACAGAAAACAAAGTATCTGTTCCTTGTCTCTTTTTTGTTTTGTCCTTGCGCGCGAGATGCCGATGGTGTGGGAGGAGGAAGAATTGTTAATTGACTGATAAATAAAAAAATTCAGATGCTTAGGTTATGCTAGCTTATTTATATGTGTTTTATTTTCGTGATCCCGAGCGCGAGACTCGGAAAAGGAGCGAGTATTAACTCCCGGGCTCGAGGTCGACGGAGATAGTGTGCTATAGCGACTGGAGGGCATGCCGAAAGAAAAGGTTCAGACGGCCTCTCCTTTCGTGAAATCAGACATACAAGTATCATCATATGCGCGTGTAGGACACAATGTGTCAAGTTGTCAACTTGCTTATGTAATCGATTTTATATGTGTTGTCGACATTGAAAGAATATGGTCTTGTACCTACATGTGGACATTATTTGGTCCACCAATAATAATTGTCACCTCATCTTTTTTCCAACCTCTTAGCTTTCTTATCCTTAGGGTTATCATCCCCTACTTCGTTTTTTTTGGTTTAATTTTCTTTCAGAATATAAAAGATCAGGATCTCTCATGGTCATGGACTTGTTGCCCATGGTCTTATAATAAACCAAATGCAATAAGCAACATCTTTGCTTTTCTGTAGGAATTCACAATATTATTTTATTGGTTAATACAAGGAAAAACTTCAAACTAGTACACCTATGATAAATTTACCCTCCTTAGTTTCTGTTAAATTTTGCCGTTAAATTGCTGAGTTGGATGACACGTGACTGTTGACGAGTGTACTAGTTTGAGGGTTTACCCCTTTGTTTGTCACATGTTTGTCAATTTGCGATTTTTCGTAGTATTAATCCAATTTAATGAAGAGTAAATTTTTCACAAGTGTACAAGTTTAGGGTTTTTTGTAGTCAAAAAATTAATTTGAGGTAAATTTATTACATGTGTACCAATTTGAAGTTTTTCGTGATTAATAAATTAGTTCGAGTTAAATTTGTCATAAATATAGCGATTTAGAGTTTTTGGTAATATTAATTCTTATTTTATTTAAGAAACACCAAATGTAATCACGTACGGAAGTTTTATGTATTGTGAAAATTTCAACTCTTAAAATCATTTCAAAAGTGCATGAGCCGCCGGATTTGAAAAGCAAAGTGGAAAAATTATATTGGACGGGCCCTAATGATGACGGGACAAACCTATTGTGTAGACCAAATGCGTGGCACAAATTCCTTTTCTAGAGTCACCTAGTCCTCCAAATTATCATGTTGCGGATGTCCTAGAGGGGTGTCTATAGTCTCTCACCATGCGCCAACGTGCTGTCTCTTCAACTGCAAACACGTGTCCCCCTCGTTTAACTTTTTATCACACCCAACCACTATCCAAAACCCTAACATGAATATTGACTAGAAATTATCAATTGAATCGATTACAATTTTATTAATTTAATTTTAAATTTTTTTAATTTTATCAATTAAATTCAAAATATTTTCACATTTTATCAATTGAGTCCATCCGGTTAATATTGACTAGAAAATAATGACGTGGATGCCATCCGTCTTACGTGGTATGGCCGACTGATGTAAATTTTTAATAATATCTTAATATCTTTTTTGAATTTTTTATTAATTTTTTTCCTTTTCCTTTTTTACTTTTTTTTTCTTTTTTAATTGTTAAGGCCGACAGGGGGTCGTCGACTGAGGCCTGGCGACTCCTACCGGCCACTGGGAGAGGGCCGCAAGCCTCGATGGTAGCGGGCGAGGGTCGCTGCCCTCGCATGCGGCCAACAAGCCCTTGTCTGCCACAGTGAAGGTTGCAAGACTCGCCCAGTCGTAAACAAGGGCTGCGACCCTCGCCCAGTGGCCTGCAAGGGCTCGCGGCTCTTGCCGGCCGCGTGCGAGGGTAGAGAGCCCTTGCTTAGCTGCTCGCGACGGATGAGAGCTCACAGGTCCTCGCCCAATGGCTGGCGAGGGTCGCCGGGCCTCTGCCGGTAGCCGGGCGGCCCATTGCCAGACTTAACAATAAAAAAAAGAAAATAAAAAGGAAAAAGAAAATAAACAAAATAAACAAAATTAATAAGCAATTTGAATAAATATTAATCTATTGTTAAAAATTGTACATATGTCAGCAATTTTCAACTAAAATTGGCTTGACAGATTCAATTGGCAATACATGAAAAGTTTAGGGTCTAATTAGCAAAATTAAAAAGTTTATGACTGAATTGGTAAAAATGCAATAGGTTTAGGATTTCCTCTAATGGTTCACAATCCCTTGCCAGCCCCATCGAGTAGCCATGTTGGAGTTCACTCTCTCTTTCTCCCCTACAACCCACATGTCATCGGGCCTCGACGACACTAGCATCAAGCTTATCGCCTATGGCGGAGCATAGCGTTGTGTTGTGTGCCTTGACCCCGCCTTGTCACTGTTATGAACCTCCAGATTCAAAGGTAACACCCAGGCCTTAATGATGACAAAGGCCAGATCGTGGCTTAGGGGATAGTAAGGGGAAAATTACTAAAAAAGTCATCAACCTATTGCAATTGCGCCAATTCAATCATAAATCTCTTTTTTTCGCCAATTGAGTCCCAAACCTTTTACATTTGTGGCAATTCAGTCTATTAAGCCAATTTTGACAGGAAACCGCTGACATGGACGCCAACCGTCCTACGTGACATGACCGTGCTCATGTGAACAACTTTTAATAATATTTTAATATTTTTTGAATTATTTATTTATTTTTTCTTTCTTTTCCTCTATTTCTTCCCGTTGCTGGCAGTTGACCTCGCCCATAGATGGCATATTGTTCTTATAAAGGTTATATATGGGAAAACAAGGTACAGGGTGAGGGTCACATTACTTCATAAAAGTATTATCTTACATGAACTTCATACATCATGTGGGATCACGATAGGCTTGATTATTCTCGTTGCATACTATACCCTCTAAAGTCAGCATAAGTATCGGATGGAACTAGATACCAATTAGTTCCGATTGATCCTTTTAAGGTACACCACTCAAATTTGTTTCAGTTGAAATTACGTAGACAGGACTTTTTAAAAGCAATGGTATCTTCGAATTTAATAAACCGATGCTTATCATATGTTTTTTTTTTTTTTGTAACAGAAGATCCGCCGTCATTTCTCGGGGACGAGCCCCCATAGGTAATCGGAGCGTCTATACCTTGGGGGAGACTAGCCCAGCAACCCACCGCCAAGGCCCCCTACTTAAATTACGGAACCGAGCGGGGATTCCAACCCAGAACCTCTCTGAGGGAAGGAAAGCGCTCACCAACTCGGCCATGCGCAGGTGGGTGATGCTTATCATATGTTGTAGCCTATACAAAGCGATAATCACGATGTTAAGTTAGGAGATGACATGTTGGTGGGACAAAATTATAGTTTTGTCTTATATAATCATGTCCATACTTAACATCCACTTAGTGCAATGCTTTTGCTCGACTCCCATGCTACGTTTCCTTCCAACGAGAGACTCTTCTTTTCAACAGTCGTTCTAAAGCCCGGTGAACGTCGCTCGATTGATTCTCGAGAAGCAAAAGCTCGAAATGCGGCGGACATGGCTATCCAAATCGGTCGATTCTCAATTCGTATGTCTTTCCGAATCTGTTTACTACAAAGGATCCATGCTCTAGCAACGAGCCGGAGAATTCGTCGCCGAAGCCTCTAGCGACGCAGCTTTACGTTGTCAACCTTCGTTGTAATGTCCCCGTCGCTAGAGGTTGCAGTGACGGAAATTGTCGTTTTCTTCACTATGTTGCCACGAAAAACTGTGTTGCTAGAGGGTATTTTTTCATTTTTCTAAAAGGTAGCAACGAAACAATACATATCTCATCTCAAAGCCTTTTACGATTGCCTTTTTTCTTATTGACGCTATAGGTAAACCATCATCACTACAAACTTGACTTACAAACTAAACTTTGTAATGTGAAATACAAAATTTGCAAGCCCACTTTTTAAAATGCTATGCCGTCAACGAAATGGAAGTCACCCGTTCGAATCTCGCCAATTACTATGCATTAGAGTCATCTGTACAGGTTAAATTTCTGAGCTTAACCCGTTGACGGGATTTACAGGGTATTTCGTAGGCTCATAGATAACTTGGCCTCCATGTTATGAAAAAAAATGTATTAATGATGTAATGACGAGGTGGTATGAGGCCCCTTAAGACAGCGTGATCTAGGCCGAATTTCCTCCGTCAATCTCCACTAGGCCTGCCTTTGTTCTTTTGTATATTTAATGTGGGTGGGTCCCACTCCTAACTGCTTTTGATTCCTCGGATGAGATGAACAAACTTAGATATAGGCTCCGTTTGGTTCGGCTCTGGGAAAAGTCTTTAGGGAAATGCAAAGGCTTATGAACTAAAAGGATTTTTAAAATCCAAGTAGTGTTTAATAAAGTGTATTTTAAAAACGCATTGGGAAGCAACTATGACCAAAATGCCATTTGGTAAAAACTGCACTTTGTAAATGACTTTTGCTAATTTTTTTTTTAAAAAATCTCAAATTATTTGCCAGCGGAATTTAACCGCCGACTAGCCAAATCGGCCGCCGGTCAACCACGCCTGAAGTCACCAGACCCAAGCCTTGCTTGAGGTCGCGTGACCTCAAGCGAGGGTTGCAATGGCTTGTCCTTGGCTTGTCAGCCGTTCACTGGTAGTTGAGGCCCTCGCCGGCAAGTTAGGGTTTTTGAGGACATTTCCAGAATTATGAAAGTTGAGCGAGGGGAAAAAAGTATATTTGCATTATGCTACTTTCCAAAGTACCTCTACACCTACCTTGGGCTAAAGGCTTTTAGAGGCGTTTGGAAATGCAATTGCATTTCCCTAAATTGAGAAAAAAAAAAAAGAACCAAATGCCATTTACATTTAGCAAAGGGACTTTAGAGCGACAAAGCTCATTTGAAATGGTGCACCAAACGGAGCCATAAATGATGAACCCCACGAAAGTACGATGCAGCAATGGCCACGTAGCTTGAATTAACCTGTACAGAGTAGGGGTGATCGATTTCAGGGTGAGTAGGTTCCAGATCTGGATTCTAGAACCTATTTTGTTAGAATTGATGCTCAGTTTTTAGAACCTAGAACCTACTATATTTGCCCTAGAACCGACATTGGAACCTACCCTATTGTTCCGGTCCGGTACTAAAGTTTACCCTAGAACCTATTTTTCTTTTGTTCTTTTTTTTTTGGTTTCATTGTTATAGCGAAATACTATGAGCAACAAAACGATTCAAAATAAAAGAAGAACGAGGGCCAGCGAGCAAAGGCGAGTCAGGAGCGAGCGATGGTTGCAAGGCTCGAATGAGCAAGGGCGAGCTGCGAGTGAGCGAGACAGTCATGAAGTGTCTGAGTGGTTCTTCACTAGCAGTTCCAAAGCTCTGGAACACGGAAGCGGACTAATTTTCAAGGTGGTCCGGTTGCACGGGCCCTAGCACAGAGGTAGCAACCGTCCTCCTCCTCTCAATTCCTTCGCATGAAACCGTTCTTCTTATTCCGATATAATTCTTGTCCTTCCGTTTGTTCCCTTCTCCACTCCCAACCAGACGAGATTCATTTAGGTACTTAGAGAAACCAGAGCCTGTCCCGGGGCGGGCACACGGAGTCCTAACTTCACGTATCAACCTCAATTTTCGAACGACCAAATCGACCCCCCCCCCCCCCTCCCGCCCCACTTCGTGGGAAGAGCTTAAGTTTTTCTCGGGGGTGAAGTTGTCGAGCCGTCTTCGAAGACGACGCGCTCGAATCGAACAAAAGCAAAAGGCGATGGGGGCACTTCTAATGGTCCACGCACGCTGTTCTGAGTGCGCTTCGATTGGAGCCCGACGGAGGGATTGGCTTCTGTTCCCCCGACGCCGCACCGCATGTGTTGAGTGAATTGAGATGGAAATCGCTTTCATCTCTCTTTGGTTTCTCAAATAAGAAAGAAGGTTCGCATGAATGAGCCAACGAAAGCAGAAAGCTGTGTGTGTGGGGTCATTGTCCATCGATTCCCTGATCCCGTCCTCGAAGAACACAGAAGGTCGAATGAGAGTTATCCATCGACATTGCTTTTGCTTTCTGATCGCAACCTCCTATTTTTTTTTCGTGGGATAATGATACAAATCGTTCCTAAATTTTGACGCAATATGCAATTTAATCCATAAACTTTTAATTTAATCAATATAGTCCTTGAACTTAAATTAATTGAAGGACTACATTGAACATTATCATATGGTTCAAGGACTAAATTGAACGTGTACCTAAAGTTTAGGGATAACATTGAGCAAATGAAAAGTTCATGGACTATATTGCACATTGGGTTAAATTTCAGGGACTATATTAAAAAAATTAAAAGTTAAGGGATCATATTGTACATTGGTCCAAAGTTCAATAACTGTTTGTGTCATTTTCTATTTACTTTGTCCTAAGGGAATATGATATATATAATGAATATATATTTGGCAGATTAAATTCAATAATCCGTTGTCGTCCAGCGGTTAGGATATCTGGCTTTCACCCAGGAGACCCGGGTTCGATTCCCGGCAACGGAACCTTTTTGCTTTTTTCTTCTTGTTTATTGCACCCATCTTTCTCTAAATTGTCTAGTTTTTTGCTTGTCTATTTGTTTTTTCCTCTCCTGTTCAAGAGCGGACCTTTCCATCTGGACTTTGATTCGTGCCTGCCTGCTGCTCCGTGGTCCCTAATGATAGTGGTTAACCACCTGCACAAGTTGTTGATGACTTCTTTTTCCACCCCCCCTTTTTATTTTATTTTAGCCTGTTCATGAACTTGAGCATTGTTGTTGATTCGTTAGGTGTTTTTCACCTGGCTCCACGTAATGTGACGGCAAGTGGCTTAGTACAACTTTTTCAGTGAACTAATATCTGATCTCTCCTGCTTGTTGGGCCTGAAGCCTGAGTTTCTCTTGTATTGGAATAAATCTGATAGACTCTTTGTCAAACCCAGTCACCGGCTCAGTGTTTCACTCTGCACCTGAATTTACGAGCATTGCATTCTCGATCTTTGGTAGGGATTGGTGGGGCGGATCGAGGACTAGGCAGGCCAGAGAGCGTAGCTAGGCAAGGCCACTAAGACCAGCTTATGTTCTGATGGCGCGATGCGGAGACAGAAACTGATCGCTGATAGGTTAACTAATTAGGGTGTTAGGCCATAAGAACAAATGGAAAAGTTCAGGGAAAGAAAATCAAGAGACCGCTCCAACATGACAGAACTTACACTAATGCTAGAGTTCAGCATATCAGGTTAAGTTATTTTGAGACTCAATCTAGCATTAATGCGATAACCGCAGAAAATCGAACTGATAAGGTCAGTAAGTTTTTTTGGGGGCTCCAATTCAGGTCTCGACAAATTGAAAACTGGCATCAGTACAGCACCATATACACGGTGGCACAATTAGTATAGTGGGCTGTGCGGTTGTGCAACTAGTGGACTAACTCAGACTTTGCGTCAGAATCAACTTCAGAGAGAAAGAGAAGTGTACATGCTAATGGTGCGGTTATGTATGTTTTTTACCACAAGCCCTTACTTGTCGAAAGCCCTATTCATCGCGGTGAAGTCTTTAAAATCAGATGAAGTGGGGTTACAGCTTTTTAGAACTAATTAGTTCACGTTGCCATTGACCCAACAAAGAAAGAGAAGACACTTTAACCTTCCAATTCCATCACAGGCTTGGAACCCAAAAGTAGCGTCCCCTTGATCCAGCATTAGACTTTTCCCTGTAGCAAATGAGCCCAAGGTGGCTTTTTTGTACTGACCAAATAACCAAAAGAAAAGGCAGATCATTGCTCATTTCCCCTTTTTATGCTTGTAGGGCAGGCATGTATGATGGTCATAGTGTTCCTTCAAGGTGGGAGAAACTATTCCCATCTTTTTGACATGAATCTTTCGGTTGCTTTAGTTCCTATATTTGTGCTGACAAAAGCTGAAAATTTGCTCACATAATGTGTGCTCTCTTCACTATGCAGATATCCTCTTCTTATATACCTATTTCCACCACCATCAGCACCACCCTCGACCCCCACTCACCAACTCCGGCACCGACGACAAATGTTATTGGGGTTTCAGATAAGTTATGACCTACTTCGAGTGGATGTATCGACATTTACAGTGCGTAAGCGCAAACTCCACTGAAAGATGTGCTAAGCATGCCTTACTTTAGTCGCCACCCTTTGCCCCTACTTCAAATATAGCACCCTGTTTGGTGTGGATTCTCTCATTCAAGCTCAAGCAGAGAGAAGTAGACAGCTCGATGCGACCATGAAAGGTGCTTTTGCTATCTTCCTGTTCTTCCTCTCGTCTTTCATCTCAATCCTTGGAGGAACCAAAGTAGCTCAAGCAAAGGACAATGGGGTTTACATTGTCTATATGGGAGCGGCTGCTTCAACAAATGAATCCTTAAGATACGAGCACACGCAGCTTCTTAGTTCTTTGAAACGGTGAACATACTCACTCCCTTAAGTCAGTTTTGCCTTTCCTTCTTCGTGCTAGACGAGAATAACCGTGCCATCTAAGTGAGACGAACGAATTACTTACAGAAGCTAAATGATGTTTCTGAATATTACCGCTGAATGCGCCAACAACCGGCCAAATCCTGCCAAAGGAAGACAATTGCATTACTTATATTGAGATAATACTTCAGTTATCATAGCTTATAGCTTTCTTTAATGATTTTTATCTTCTTTTCCAAAGAAGTTGGAGTTGGAATTTTGCTTCTAATTTAAATTTAATCCTACATCCTGGAAGTCCTGTGAATTATAAGAATCTTGTTTTCCAAAAAAATAATGCTCAGGCTGTCAGGATCTTATGATCATAATGAAAAACTGTTTTTAAGATCAGTTTTAAAAAAAAATAATCCAATTCTAATAAAATAAAATAAAAAATGGTTGCAACCTCTCATCTTTTCCAAGATGTCCCGGGAAAATTCGGAGAGTAAACATCCGTTGATTCTTGCTAGGAAGGGCATGACATTAGTACACAGCTATTCGCACAGCTTTTCTGGCTTTGCGGCTCGCTTGTCAGAAGAAGAGGTGCGATCAATAGCTCAGAAGCCAGGAGTCATCTCCGTGTTCAAAGATCCGCTACTACAACTCCACACGACTCGCTCGTGGGACTTCTTGAAGTATCAGATTGATCTGGAAATAGACTCGAGCCCCAGCTCTGACTCGGACTTGTCAACCCAGGAATATGATACTATCATTGGCATCATGGATACAGGTAACACTGGAAGGCTGAAACATGTTCCGCCATGGCACCATAATGTGTGCATTGTCCTCATATATCAGAGCTGTCCTAATTTAGTTAAACTTCATACCATAACTAGGCATATGGCCAGAGTCGAAGAGCTTCGATGACAAGGATTTGGGACCGATTCCGCCACGGTGGAAGGGAAAATGCATGGAAGGGGATGATTTCCGTCAGTCCAACTGCAACAGGTGAATCTAAAACCACTAAGCATTTGACGCAGAATAAGCAATCACAGCCCAATCGTTATTTCTTGAGTGAGAAGTTCTGAGTTCGTGATTTTCTAACTTGAGAGGACTGAGTTCGGTCCTTTATATCACTGTCTAATTGTATAACATAACGACCCTCTAAAGAATACGGGGCTGGAGAACTTCTTTCTCAAAATGTGCTTCTTTATTCCTTTTCCAACCACATTCAGATCCTGCCTTCATGGATGGATGAGCCACGAGAAAATCAAAGAAGAGTAAATGACTTTTCATTTGCAAACAAATTGATCCTAACTGAAGAATCTGCCTGTATATCTTTATCTTCCATATTCGAGTCAAAGTACAGATATGTTTTGATCTATGCAGAAAGCTGATCGGAGCTAGATTTTACGTTGATCCTGATGAGGCGACAGCAGACCGCACGCCTAGGGACATGTTCGGCCACGGAACCCATGTGGCTTCAACTGCAGGAGGAAGTGCCGTGCTGGGTGCTTCTTTCTATGGCCTAGCTGCGGGGACTGCAAAGGGCGGGTCCCCCAGGTCAAGAATTGCCATCTATAGAGTATGCTTGCTGGAGGGATGCCGGGGGTCTGCCATAATGGCAGCTTTCGATGATGCAATTTCTGATGGAGTTGATGTGGTGTCGCTCTCGCTAGGTGCATCTGCGATGACGATACCTGATGTCACGAGCGATCCAATAGCGATAGGAGCATTCCATGCGGCAGAGAATGGGATTATTGTGGTCTGCTCAGCAGGGAATGACGGGCCTAACTCAGGAACAGTCGTCAATGCTTCTCCTTGGATTCTGACTGTCTCTGCCTCAACCATCGACAGGAATTTTGAGTCTGATGTTGTTTTGGGTGGAAACAAAGTGATCAAGGTAGCCGATCAAATCTTTTGGTAGTATACATACTTCTTTACATTCACAAGAACGTGTCCATAGCTTGACCATCATCCGAAACTTCTTAAATTGGAAAGCTGAAGTCTGCAGCTGAGACTCGCGAGTTTTCTGATAGGGCATCATCGCCTTTCAAATTTCAACGAATAGTCACGTAACACTGTCACAATGTCGCATTCTCTTGCAGGAGCATTAGTCACTATTACTCTTTCTGAATTTCCACATTTAGCCTGAAATCTATTTAAGCAGAATCATCAAATCTATTGTATGTTGCAGTTATCGGTCTACCCTTGCTTGGAAGCTGATCTAGCGTTGTTCCCAAGTCACCTAAAAAGAAGTTATGACCCTCGGCAACTGGAAATTTTTTTTAACATCCTGAGTGTCTATGATGCATTTCAGGGTGAAGGCATAAATTTCAGTAGTCTCGATACATCCCCGGTGTATCCTTTGATCTACGCTAAGTTTGCACAAGACAGTGAAGCGCTAGAGTCGGAAGCAAGGTACTCGAAATCTGTTCTGAAGTTACATATGACAAAAAATCTTAATAGGACTATATCAGAGACAAAGCAAAAGCAAATGACAAAAAACGATGAAGGAACTTCTGCAGCAAGATGTAAGTACTAAATTTGTGATTTGAAAACATTGTGACCAGAAACTGCAACCCAAGTTCCATGGATGCAGCCAAAATCGAAGGCAAGATTGTTGTCTGCGATAATGATGACAACGAATACTCGGAGAAAAGCAAGTTGGAGGAGGTGAAAGATCTTGGAGGAGTAGGCCTAATCTTGGTCGATGATGAACAAAGATCTGTTGCATCTATCTATGGCGCATTCCCTATGACGGTGGTTTCTTCAGAAGACGCTTCTGAGATCCTCTCCTATATGAACTCCACCAGGTATGCAACTATTCTGTCACTTACTTACACTTAATTAAATAAGCAAGGAAAAATGTTATCTCAGCATTCTAAATGCTTTTCCAATGAATCACTTCCTGGTGTTGTATGTCCTGAAGCAATCCAGTGGCTACAGTCCTAGCAACAGTTGCAGTTGCGAACTATAAGCCAGCACCTTCCATGGCATACTTTTCATCCAGAGGCCCTTCATCCATCACTAAGAACATTCTCAAGGCAAGACCGAATCTCGCTCTCTAAATATCGTCATTCGCAAGCAAACTAGCTAAAACAAACGACGATTAACTGACAATGTGCACATTGTTCTTTACAGCCAGATGTCACAGCACCAGGAGTGGCCATTCTTGCAGCTTGGATAGGCAACGACACGGCAGGCACTCCAGGCAAAGCCGCCCCATCGTTCAATGTTCTCTCCGGGACTTCCATGGCGTGCCCACACGTGTCGGGCCTTGCCGCGACCATCAAGTCTCGAAATCCCACTTGGGGCCCATCAGCCATCAGATCAGCCATCATGACCACAGGTCAGTCAGGACAGTGTTAAAAGTAGTAACTTAATGACATCTCTCTCTCAGCCATGCTCCTGCTGAAATCCTTAGCAATTGGCAAGTGCCGAAAATAAGGTCAAGCCTAAAGCCATTTTCATGGGCTGACCAACTGATATTCCAGTATAATGCTACGGAAATGATTAGATCGCTCATCGAGTCTCGCAAGACACTATCCACGGTCATGTCCAGTCCTCCCTGCTTGCATTATGGGAATTCTTTCTGAAGATAAACATATCTTTGCATCCATCTGCAGCCATCCAAACAAACAACTTGAGGGGCCCTATAACTACGTACACGGGCACAGCCGCCACACCGTACGATTATGGAGCAGGAGAAGTGAGCACAACTCGACCGTTACAGCCAGGACTTGTTTACGAGACAGACACTAGGGACTACTTGAACTTCCTCTGCTACTATGGCTACAACATTGCGCAGATCAGGCACATCGCGAGAAATGTTTCGGATGGTTTCTCTTGTCCCCAAGGTTCAAGCTCCGACCTGATTTCCAACATCAACTATCCCTCGATAGCAATCTCAGGTCTGGATGGGAATCAAAGCAAGACCGTTGTCAGGACCCTCACAAATGTTGCCGGAGATGATGCAACCATTTATATGGCAAGCATTGATGCTCCGGAGGAATTAAATGTCAAGGTAGTTCCAAGTGAGCTCGAATTCGAGACAACGGGTCAGAAGCAGAGTTACCAGGTCGTTCTCTCATTGAAATCATTGGTAAAAGAACATTTGTTCGGGTCGATTACTTGGACAAACGGACAATACAAAGTTCGTAGTCCAATTGTAGTAAGTAGTAAAAAGTGACTATCTGTAAGTAGAGGAGACTTGCACCGGGCCAAACTTTATCCCGGATACTGATGTAGATGGAGCGCCTGGATGAGAAGTTCAAGTCCCGAAAATGACCAAGAATTGGAGAAAAATGGGAGTATCAATAACCAAATCAAAGAAAGTTAAGGCCGCTTCATCTTCATCTTCACTATTGACCTGTTCGCTCGCAATGTCATTGCCATTGACAATGTGTTTATGAGGAGTTATGGACATATGCATCCATCAAGTTGAAAAATCTGTTCCTTTTCTCATACACAACTTTGTTCATAATCACTTTGTTATTGATATCTCATGTCACTAAATACCTCAAACGCACCTCAGTGATTATACCACCCTAACTAATCATGATCACTTTATCAGAGCGAAGTTCCATCAAGATACTCGCAAGCGGACCCATGGCAGATGCATAAACTTGCGCCAGGGCTTGCATTCCGAGCCACCCTTCTCTTTGAGAGAGGAGATGTCTTAAGTTTCAGCGATATCCTTACACGATCAATAAAAATTACTCATAAGACATTGAAAACCGATATTATGGCGACCAAAGAAAAGTATACATGAACACAAGCTCACTTCATTCAAGCATGCAGTGCCTGAAGACGTGGCATAGGTATCTCACCGTTTGCAGCTATATAACAGCTATCTTCTCATGGCAATGGCAAGGACAGGAGCAACTATCAGTTCTAACTAGTTTTAACCATGCATACACAAACATACACTTACAATGGTATGCTGGCCTTAGGCTTCCATTAAGCCGAACTTCATTTCGGTCCATCGGCATAAGTCAAAATTCAGAATAAAGACATTGAGCCAAAGCGAGCTGTGACTTAAAATACAGAGCTCTGTGCATAACAACCTATTTAAACAACACCTTCGATCATTATCAACCCACAGTTAAACCATGAGGACCACTGGAGGTACTTGTTTTCCTAACTAGCAACTGTTTTCAGACAACGGGCTCCTTCGGCATATATTTCCAATGCACTAGAGATAAACTAGCAACATCTGCAAGCATGCATAACCAAAGAAAAACAGGTGAAAAAGAGGCCTCAATGCATTGCAGCAACCAAGAAACAGAGCCATCATCTCATAAACATGTGCTAGGTAAAAAGTAAGACCATATATGATACAGAGAACAAGGTCCAATAACACCAGCAAGAAGTTAGAAGATTGATCTTGAGTTAGAAACAGCGACCCCAGTTTCCTCGAGTGAAGAATGACTAATGCCACAGCAAAAAGTTGGCTTCAACTAAGCACTTCTTTTCACTCAAAGGCCCATTGGTTCTCCCTTCGAACCTCTTCCTCTTCATCGGGCGTGAAGTCGTTCTTGATGTTGAATGTCTTCCTTATCTCCTCAGGTGTCTTGCCCTTAATCATGTCAGCCACAGTCTGGCAGGTCAGATCCAGCAAGCCCTTGATGTTCAGATAATTCGCTGCCTATCGCATATCAAGCAAAAATGCCACACAGAAAATAATAAGTACTGCAATCCTTGACGAGACAAGACTCGAATCTAACTTCACAAGCTCATGAATTATCTACGATAGCGCTGCTGAAATAGCCAAACCTCTGCATTCACTAAGCAAAACCCCGAGCGATAAGTCATCATCGCGTAAATACGCAACTGAGATGAGCTCCAAAAAAACCGTGCTTCAATCTTCAAAAGCCACCGGCAACAAAGAATTGCCAATCATCCAAACATGTTCAGGACTCAGGAGCATCAATGCGATCCGCTAATTTAGTTTTCCACCCTTAAAAATTACAAAACAAGAAAAGATAATATCTTGCACCTAAGCATCACCACAGTACAAACACTTCAACTTCTAACAAAACCCAGTGCAGCAGACTCGTCAGCCATTCATTACTAGTTTGCTACTATAACATCTCCGCAAACCCTAGACTCCGATGAGGAACCTACACTATACTACACGTGCAAAACATAGCCCGCTTCAAAAGAACAGACCATCAGCCATACTAATCGTCAAAATCAACGTCAAAACCCTCGCCCTCGCCGAGGAACGCCTAGACAAGGCTAAAAAACAACATCCCCGCAACAAAATCTCCCGCGAGACCCAAACCCTTAAACGCGAGATTCCGGCACCGAAGAGCGATCAAGGGAAGCGGGCACTGACCAGGATGAGGTCGAAGAGGGTGGCCTGGTCGACCTTGACGAACTCGGCGTCCCAGGCCTTGAGGTCGTCGTCGGCGGAGGGGGCGCGGTCGGCGTCGACGTGCTTCCGGCAGTACTCGATGACCTTGGACAGGATCTTGCTGGTGACGTTGGGGAGGGGGATGCCGTCGTCGGCGCACTCGTCCTCGATCATGTGCTTGATGGTCTGGGACTCCAGCGCCACCGCCTCCTCCACCTCGAACGACTCCTTGTCCGAGCTCTTGAGGACGATCTTGCGGGCGGACGCCATGGCGTTTTCCCTCCGGCGCGGGATCTTCTTCGCGAGAGCAGAAGGGTGGGAGGGAGACGACGACGACGACGCGATTGCAGAGGGGGAAACCCTAACGATTTTGGGGGAAATTTCGTCGGAGGATTTTGATTTATCGCCGCTCGGGACCGTGGGCCGTTGCTTCCGGGGCTTTTTGGGTTACGGTAGGGGGAAAATAACGGGGAGAGAATATGATACCGGATAGGATAACTTTCATCTTATATGGTGTTTGGAGCAACTAAAAATCCGGATATTGTCGCGATATGGTCAGTATATAAAATAAGCCCATTTAGTGATGGGATATAACAGTGTGCAAAATGGACCGCCTAAATCGGGAACTACAGGCCGGGCCGGGCCAGGCGGTTTAGTCCGGTTCTCGAGTGTCGATCAGTCTGATTCTGATTCTTAAAAGAGTGGAATCGGTATCTAGGCAGTCCGGTTCCCGGTTCCAAGGGAGAACCGGACCGAACCTGACCAGACCGACTAAACGGTGAACTGAACCCTAAGTAAATTTCATTGACATAAATTCATTGATAAAAATTAATAAAATGTGAATTAAATCGTAAGTGACCGGCTTCATTGGACCGGAACCGGACCGGACCGGGCCGGTTCAATCCTGTTCCCGGTCCTAAGACCAACCGGTCTGGTTCGTGGTTCCCAATTTTGAAAACCGGTCCTCTCGGTCCAGTTCCAGGGTCTACCTTGAAATCGGACCAGGCCGAAGACCGATCAATCCTAATGGGATATATTCGGATAAGATATGTCTCCCACTCATCTCGTTTCTCCATCTCTCCTTCCCACCCAAGACCATCACCCACGGCCTTCCACCAAGCTTTGTCTCATTGCCATTGACGAGGGCTCACCATGGTGACGAGCTCAACTCGACCTCGGTCACAGAGGCGCTCCATGGCCGGATTTGTAGATTCTCCTTGGCTGAGTTCAACTCGACGGAGCTCGATTGGACCTTGGCCACGTGGGAGTTCGACTCGATCGCGGTCGCAGTGGAGCTCCATGGCCAGATTTGGAGGACCAGTTGTACGTAGTACCCCTTTGTCTCGTGCGCCTTTCTCACTCGAGTAGATGCACCTTCATCCGTTGGGCCTCGACCTTAACGTCAATCACAATGGTAGGGGTGGAAATCACCTCACTCTCCCGCCCCGCCCAATAGATATACTTTGAATGTGTCATCTTTAAATTAATCATCTAAAAGAGTTTCTCTTCCCCATTGTTCCTATAGGTTACTTGTTTCGTTTGAGATTAACCCCGAGCTTCTAACCTAATTTCATGAGAAGGATTCCATGCCTCTCAATCCAACTAGACATCTTCCATCAATATCTAGAATGAGGAGGGTGACGAACGACGTTTACGAACAAAACCTTGAAATGTTTTCTCACAGACAGAACAAATCGGAATGTTGCTTTCAGCGACAAAGAGGAAGCTTCAGGGACAAAAATCGTAATATGTTTATGATGTTTTAAACAAAGTAGGCCAACAAGAAAGGAGATTGATTTTTCACACATGGGAACAAAGAAGACAACGATGAAATGAGGGAGATTGACCTAGAATATGAAGATTACAGGCCGACGATGAAAACGGGGGAAGGACTGGTGGTTGCCGAAGATTTTGTACAATGGTGATGCCCAGACAGCTTGGACATCCACGCGGGTTTATAGATCTCAATGGTCGACATTCGATCAAATAAAAAAGTTCCGACAACCAAAGTAGCTTTAGGGACTATTCTGAGGATGAAAATATTTGGAGCCCTAATTCTCCTCTTTTTCTGGGTTTTTTGTCTTTTCATATTTTAATTCAGTTCTTGAGCTTGTTTTTTCATCACGATATTTCCATCTATATTATTGGAGATTCAAAGAACGTTATTTTTCCCATGATGAGATTCAAACTATTAGAGAAAATTTACAATATGTTTTTATTAGCATGATAATCTTTGCATCTCTTATAATTATTTAGGGATAATTGGTAGATTGCACTTTTCTTTTTCTATTGAGCAATATATTGTACATATTTTTGCACCGTACGACAAGTAATACAAACCAATTACAAATTTTCTCATGATATCAAAGCAAAGAGATAAAAATCCACTAGACATATGACCTGCATTGTTTGCAAAATGGCTAAGGAAGCGTCTACAAAGAAGATGATTGACCCTTACTGTATTATCTTAACACCTCCGACAATCCGATAAGCGTACTCACTCCATGCATACTGACCTAGGATAACTATGCAATATGGTCGAAGGCGATGAGACGTGCATTGCGGGAAAAAATAATGGATTTATCGACGGATTGCTAGAGAGGCTAAATCCAACAACACCTTAATTTGATGCTTGGGACATATATAATTTCATAATAATTTCATGGATTTTCAATTCCCTCGATAAGAGTCTATAGGAAAGCATGGCATACAGAGGAAGCTAAGGTAATGTGGGACAAGCAAAATGAGATATTTGCCCAAGGCAATAGACCTCGCATCCACAGGGTCAAAACCAAGATTCGGCTGCCAAAGCAAGGAGGACTCTCGGTGGTAAAATATTACACCAAGTTGAAAGTTTTATCGGATAAACTCAATGACTATAGTCCTAGAATGTACCTATGCCACGGCCACTAAGGATGCAAAGAAGAAGGAGGTGCGAAAGATTCACCAGTTCCTTGTGGGCCTCAACATTGAGACCTATAAATACGTTCGTTTCATACTCTCAACCTCGAGGACTCTCGTCCCTCTGTAAGGTTTACTCTATTATCATGTAAGAGGAGTGCTAAGTTCTAATTGCCCAGAAGAGGGAAGAGAAGATTGAGGGTGCCACTTTCTCGATTGGAAGAGGAGGCCCTAGGACGGCACCGTCAGACTAACCCCAATGTGACCATTATGGAGAGGTTGTACACAGAAGAGCCATTATTGGGAGTTGGTTGGATATCTTCCGAATTGAGGGCTGAGGTACTTTCTTGGTTGGAAGAGGAGGCCCTAGGATGGCACCTTCAGACCGTTATGGAGAGGTCAAACATAGAAGAGCCATTATTGGGAGTTGATTGGACATCCTCCGATATGAGAGTTGAGGTTAGGCAGAAAGGTAGGCAAAGAGAGTGCTCCCATAGCAGCTACACACTCAGCATAGACCCAAAGCGGTGGTTCTGGTACTATCGTGGCCCAAAATCAATTTGATAGCAATCGAGGAGGTTCGTAGGGACTGATACAACAAAAACAATGAGCAATGTCAATATAGGCATTTGGTTAGCCTATTCATGGTGATGAAACCGCCCACTTTGAATGATAGGCTTGCAAGTGAGGTCCATTGGCACAATGATCTTTCCACATATTTGATTATCGATAGTGATGTCTCCATATGATTAGGCATTTGTTTCTAGATCAATTGAGGAACATCACGAATGCTTATCCCATACAAGCTCCTAACGGAAAAGTGACTCCCATTAAAAGAGGCGATATTTACTGAGTTTATTTTGTATGATGTGTTACATGTCCAAATTTTAAGTTCAACCTCATTTTTGTTGAAAAGTTTAGTCTAAAATTGCAATGCTTGGTAACATTTTTCTTCTTCTAGATGCGTTTCGCAGGACCTACCCTTGAAAAGATTGACTGGAGTGGGTAAAATCTTTGAGAATGGGCTTAATTATATCGGACGTTTGGGCAATCGTTACAAGAGCTTTATGACCAAAAAAAAAAAAAAAAACCAAGAAGGAAATCCCACCGCCTGAAGATATTCACAATTTGGTCCAATTCAAATATACGTTGGACTTTCCAACTTCGGTGGCCGAAGACTCCAGCATGTATAACAAAATTACGTGATTTGATTCACTCGATTTCGGATGTCCGTAAAATATTCAATTCGGAATATTTAGATTTTCGCTTCGGGCTTAAACTCGAGACATATTTTAACATATTTGATGATTGAAAATTCAGAGACATTCAAAGTGCTTGTTAATGTTTATCATATAAAAAAAATCCAATTTGGTCAAGTGGTTAAAATGGTTAAGAGTGATAAAGGCCGTAAATTTCTTTTTAATTCGATTAAGAACTTTTTTTTCAAAAAGTGGAGTCATGCATCGGACCTCATGTGCCTACACGCCACGAAGAAATGGGTGGGTTGAAAAAAAACACTGGTACCTTCTCTATGGAGCACAGACACTTTATTTTCAAGCGAATTTACCAATTTGATTTTTTGGGAGATTGCATATTAATGGCAGCTTATTTCACATTCAATTATGAATTCGACTCCGTTATAATTCGGAAAAAAACGCCTTTTGAAGTTTTATTCAGGAAATTTCCAAATTATAGTCATTTTGCGAGTTTTCAATGCACTTTGTTATGCTCATAAACGGTCGAAAGGCAAAGACAAATTTGAAGAATGGGCGAGAAAGTGTAGACTTTTGCAATTTCCACACGGCACGAAGGGTTGGAAATATTTTTGTTTGCACATTAAAGAATTATTGGTAGCTCGTCATGTTATTTTATACGAGGATAATTTCTCAATTCATGGTAACTTGCGCACGAGAATCAAACGTCTCTTCCTCTTTTGACAAAGCTCGTGAGATGGGGCTGTGATGGCCTAGTCGAAGGACAAGCAGCAGCGAAGTGGGCCGAGTGGGCTTTGACGCCTAGCTACTCCCACGCAAGCTCAATAGATTGAAGAGTAGCCCACCGAGCTACACAGGGAGCAGCACATTATGCATCCCAATGACAAAATTTTAGTCCTAGCTCGTCCCGCACGACAAAAGAGACAAGGAGCCCATCTTTGAGATTATGTGCATCATAGGTCCACATGAGTACCCCAACTCTTGAACTGACTCCATCGATATCTTTAGGTACGTCCTATCCAATCGAGAGGTTTATTTCTTATGAATGATTCAGTGAGCCTCCCGTTGCTTTTGTTAGCCGTTGTAGTTCTGATATTGAGCCTAGAAATTACACTAAAGGCTGTTTTAAATCCCTTGTGGAGAGCAGTGATGGGGGCACGCATTAAGACACTTGGAGATAATAGGACTTGGACTGTGGCAACTGTGCCAGAGGGTAAGAAACCAATAGAGTGCAAGTGGGTTTACAAAATTGAGCATCAAGCCGATGACCGTATTAAGTGATATAAAGCTCGTCTT